TTGAATATTTTAATTATCACATAAATTAACATAAAAATATTTGAATTGACGTTGAATGACTTGTTTTTTGTCAAAACTTTTTTATAATCAAGCAACTTCCGTTAGGAATAAACATTCAATTCAAATTACAACATGTATTCTATATCTATTACATAAATACCTTACATAGTGCGGGAACTGTCAATATTTCTCACTGATTGAAACCGCACAAATCGAGAACTTCAAATCTTCATAAAAATAAACAGTACAAAAAGAGAGTTGAGAAAGGAAAGGAAACGATAATTTATATTTAAGTAATTATTTAGTGTAGTATCTTAGAATTTATTTTGTTCCATTAAAATTTAGTTTGATTTGACATCTTCAAACCGTACTATAGTGAAAACGCACTGATCAAAGACGCATTATGCGAGGATTTGCTGTATTTGTATACTTAAAAATATAATTAATTAAAAGCCTATAAAACCGGTTTACGAACTTAATACCATAATAATATATTATTTTTTTTTACATAATTTTAGTTCCCCAAATTGGTAATTATAATTGTAATATAAATATAATGGTTTCGGTTTTCGAACAACGTTTTTCTGTTTTTGTATACTGAAAAAATAAAATTAATTAAGAGTATATGAAATTCGGTTTCCGAATTAGTTTTATAATATGATTTTGATGGTTTCAGATTTCGAACAAAATTTAGGAACAAAATATATTACACAATATATGTTCGAAATACTGCAAAATTAGATCCACGCTATTGTATACATGTAATAAAAAATCTGTACGTCAGATGTTTTCATATATCTGATACACCTCATTGACGAAAGTGTTATTAACCGATCAATAAACTCTAAAGAGAATATAGATACACTTATTCATCGGTTTATCCAATTAGATACAACACTGAATATTTTAATTAATACAACTATTACAACTACGTAATTTAACATAAAACTATTCGTACACTGCGAATGACTTGTTTCTTTGTATATCACAATAACTGGAAGCATAATATATGTCAAAGGTTTAAGTATAATCAAGCGAACATCCGTTAGGAGCAAACGAAAAAAAAAGAAGACATATGTATAATGTGAGAAACGTTGCAAACAAAAATATTAACATTAAAATCGCATTTTACGTGTGATGACGATGACACTTATCTAGGTTAATCTCGCGTGCCATCCTCACTCTGCATATGGAGATTATTTAATGTGATCCTCCATAATTTATTGCCTTTCACGTAAAGTCCCAAACCTAATTGTGTGGATGCATTAATTTTTCCGTTTATTTATTGGGATTACAATAAAACTGGTATTATGTCAAAAACGTGAGTGTACATCCTGACTTCGCAAATTGGAATCTTGCTGAGTATGACCTGAAAGTATGCGGAATTTTCGGATGTGTTCAGATGTGATTACAGGTTCGGATAATTGGATTTTAAAAGGATCACGATCTTACCGATAATTGGCGTTGGTGCTGGACGCCTCTTGAGCAAGTATCACATCGGTTTTCACCATAATCGATGGATCGGTTTGTCGATGGCGCTTGTGACATAATTCCGATGCGCAAAGTGTGTCAGTTATTACAAAACATTCGCAACTTTTCTTCTTTATTTTTTTGTTTGTTTTCGTATTCTTTCGTTTGTTCCATTCCGCCTCGGCGGACCGTTATTATGTTGCATACTGTGCAAAACAACAGGTGAAAAGTCACACGTGTTTTGAATAACCGACACTTCCTACAGACATTATTAGTGAAACGTCAAGCTTACGTTTCCATGTATTTTGCATGGTTATGGCGTGTATCTAATAAGACCGTTTACTTGCAGATTTTCATATTATACCGTATTTACTAGTTGTATAACTATAAATTGTATTTGTTGTAAGGTTTCACTCTTATCTAGTTATCAACCAGTTTACATGTATCTACTGTGAATTATTATAACTTGTTACTGTTATGTAATACATAAAAATGAAACCTCATTAAAAGTATTATAATGATATCACAATCTGCATCAGCAATTGATCATAAAGTTGGTAGTCATTGATTATTAATATTGATTGCGATGACAATAAAATTAACTATTTAAAATGCTATTTTAAATTTAAATATGATCATTTTCCGCCAAATAACTTCAATGTCATATGGATAAAGTCACGAAACATAAAAATATGTGAAATATGACAATTAAATGTCTTTTCATTAAATTTAAATTGGATTACTTTCCGCCAATTAACTTTAATGACACTACATATGTCATATGAAAAAGGTCAAGAAACATAAACATATGTAAAATATAACAATTGAATTTACAATTTTCATTTTTAAATGTCAATTTGCCATTTTTTTACCTTTCTACTGCAAATTTAAATTTTATTATTTCCCGCTAAATATGTTTAATGCCTTAAATATTTCATATGGAAAAAAAAACGTGAAATATGACAATTAAACTGTCTATTAGCAAGGTATGTCAATCACCTGTAATATTTTTGTGTTCTGCTTCGTCATAAGTTGTCATTTCTTAAAATGTCAATTTATTTACTAATTTAGCCAATTATATTTAGTGTGTGAAATATATAAAAAAATTGGTTTATTGGCATTATTAAATAATGTAATAATACTATTTGTTTTATAAATTTATTTTTTATTATGACATGTTTTTGATAATAGTTGAAATAAATAACAATATATGGAAGAAAGAAATAATAATAATTTTCCAATTATTATATAACAAATTTATTTTCGAGTTCAATAATGTAATTAATAATATATTTGTTATATCGGGGCCTCCTCATTAGAATTATCAAAAACCTTCTTAATAATCGTTCCCTTAAAGTTAAGATCCGCAGCTCTTTCTCCAGTTCCTTTCCCCCGTTTCAGGGTGTCCCACAAGGCTCCTCTCTGTCTCCTTTGTTATATAACCATATGATATGTAAAACCCCGATCCTAATACCTTCGATCCCAACCTTTATGTCCTCCAATTCGCTGACAATACATTTGTTTCCCACGCCTCTTCCCTTCTATCCTCTATTCTTAACCTTCTATTCTTATCCTCAATCATTTTATGGTTTAAAAAATGGCGCCTCAAAATAAACCCATCCAAGACCCATCCAGTTATTATTATTTAGTTTTTATATTATCATTTATTTATTTATGGAGTGTATTTTTTTTTGTATTGATGTCTGGCCAATAAATTAGTATTCTTATTTATTTGTTATAAATATTATTTGATTTAAATAATGTATGTATGCAATTTAATTTATTATAATTCTAAGCTTACCAGATGTAAGAATTTACATTTTTTGTGTTGAGGGTCAAACAAGAAAAAGTGCGATGACACTATCATCTGTGTTTCCACTTACCAGGAACGCATAGGAACGTAGCTGAGCATGTACATTGCTTTTGCATAAGTAGGAAACTGTCTCTAGTTTGTTTAAATTAACGGTTTCGATGCAATATTGTGGTATCAGAGTACATATAAATTGTCTATAACCTAACGTTTAAGGAATGTATAATTTGCGACCCACATGTTTACTATGTGGAATTGATTATTTTGTGCTACATCTACTGTTGATTACATTTTTCTATCAGACTGGAACAATTATAAACAAAAATTCAAGAAAATTTATAGACATATTAGATTATTTATTACCATTATTTTATATCATTTTATTTTCTTTTCATATTTAATTAATCAAATGTGATGCATAATAATTTACATATAATATTTTTTGGTGATTTACTAGTTCTTTTCTTACACTCCAAGATTTTTAATATTACAAGCTTTACCTATTTTCGATAATAATTATACAGCAATACCTCGCATAGTCTATATCTAGGACTATATCTAGGACTGTTTGAAACCGAACTAATCGTGGTCTTTAAAAAGCACATAAAAATAAAAAGCACAAACAATAACATTTATTTTGATACAAAAAAAATAATTTGATATATTTTTTAAAGATATTCCTGAAACGTGAGATGAGAAACTAAAAATTCTATGTTTATAAACAAATATTGTTTCTTAATTGAAGAATATTTTATCAATCTTAACTATACAGAAATACCTGTCATATTAAGGATAATAGCTCAATAAACCGGACTAATTGAGGACTATACAACCGAAAATATCGAAAAAACAATTTTTGTACTAATTTCTATTTCGCTCAATTAAATTTTAGTACTATAGTGAAATCACAGTGATCGAAGCCGTACTATGTGAGGTATTGGTATATTATGTTTTTATTTGCACAACATTCAAGTATTACATCTCAGTATTACAGTTGTTAAAATGTTTCAATGTTAGAGTTCGTTACGTAATTCCACAACTGTACATCACGTGACAATAATGATTTATGGCTTTTTAAATCTTCTTAGAATCAGTGTACTTTACTGTACTTAAACCCTAACTGCTTTCACTTTGACTAAATGTTTATTTCTAAGTACGTTGCATGTCTAGATAAACACATTCGTGTTTCGTGTTTATACATACCGTATATTTCGGACTATAAGACGCGCATTTGCGAAAAAAAAAATCGACTTATAATTAGGGTGTTTTATAGTCTTTTATATATTTTTTCTGAAATTATCTCATAAGTACATTATATAATTAATTGTGTTGTAATACAGAATACTGTTTAAATGAATGATCGGTAAACTGGGGTAAATTACCCCAAATGTAAAACTTAATTTTTGGATGTTCAGCAATTCATCTGCTCTCACCCCGATCATCTTCCTCTGAATGGGGCAATTTCGGTAATAGTTAAAAAAAAGTTCCCCGACAATGATAATTTTCCGTACTCTTTCCTATTGGTATATCAAGGGCAAGTGGATTCGTATATGAATTGAGTGAATAATGATTTATGTTTAGAATTATACATTGCAAATATTTGTAAAAAGAATATGTATTAAGCGGATGGAACGAAACAGGAAATACATGTATTCCTATATATTATTCGATGCGTGGGTTTATCTAAGACAAGATATTAATGTTATTCCAAACCGTTTTCTTCCATTTCATCACATATGGCAACTTGTTCTGCTTTCAAGATTCCGATTTCAATTGCGATTGAAGTAAGTAAGCGTCATATAAAACTGATTATTATTGTAATTCGATTCAATTGTTTTCGAAACGGCAGGTCAAAATTATGCGAAAGGTTAGGTGGAATGGGAACTAAAAAGGACCTTAGTTTAATGCCAGTGGCATTCGGTACGATGAAACAGTACAGTTTGAACGAAGTAAAGAAACACAACAGCAGAGAAAGTCTGTGGGTGATCTTAGATAACGGGGTGTACGATCTTACCGCCTTCTTGAACGACCATCCTGGTGGAGAGGAAGTATTATTCGACAGAGCCGGACTCGACGCGACCGACTGCTTCAATACCGTGGGTCACAGTTTGGACGCCAAAGAACGCAGGGAATTGTACAAGATTGGAGAACTCGAGGATATGGAACGAATCAACTACAAACCGAAGGAAGATGACGATGCGTACGAAAAGGCGTTGAAAGCTCGAACGAACTTTTTCAAAGACAGGGTCATTCCTGCAGCAATTGTGGTAATAGCCTTCTATGTATACTACTTCATTATGTAAATAAAAGCAATATGTAAGAATAAAAACGTTTATTTTTTCCTTGTTCATCCATTCAATTAGGATTTCAGTTTCGATTTACACGGTTTTACGATTAGTTACGATTTAGATTTACCTTTTTCTCAGAAACCTATCTACCGTGTAAATTGGAGGATAGGTGAATTAAATATTTAAATATTATTTCCCGGACAGAAACAAATTTTAAATTTCCCGTTTCCCGGGATTAAAAAAATCCAACAGAAGTACTATAACCATATTAAATAAAATTATTTAAAAAAAAAACAATAAATTTAAATGCCTAATAAAAAGCCGCTGATAGCTTGTATGATCATTTTGATGTATACCGTAGTTCCGGCAGTATTGTTAATTGCCTTCCACGTCTTCTTTTTTATTATGTAAATAAAATTTATTTACAAAAAAAACAAATGAACAATGTTTGTTCATCCAACTAACCATGACCAGTATATCAAAAAATTGATTGACGCAAAAAAAGCCGCCTCGTTACCTGCACAAGACACGATACGTATTTTCGATAGATTTAATTAATCCATGTACTCGATGGTATTGTTGGAAACGTGCACCGTCATCCGTTCTATCGGATCAACGGATACTTATTATTAAGTATTAAGTTATGCATTTGGGTCTCTCGCCCGATTGCACACTTTGCATCCATATTTTTCTAATTGGCTGAACCACATTTTCTAATCCATTTTCTCAGCGCATCGAAACCATCCAACATCGCAGCTTATCCAACAGCAAATTGATTTATATAATATAATACAGGCAGCAAAAAAAAATAATAACAGAAGAAGAGTAATTTGCATACACTTAATAAGACTCGGATTAAGTCTTCCGTGTAATAAAGTTTCTTTCGAACGTAATCATTAAAAGAGCTTTATTATTCTATTATACTGTAATTAAGCAAGATGAAAAGAATGAAGAAAAATAATATAATGAAGATCAAAAAAAAAATATATAAAGAAGAATAGGATAGAGCCGTGGCGAACAAAAGTTATTCGGGTTCAGGCGAGGAATTTCAAGCCTCTCGTAATTGTTTAACCATATGGCATCTTAACTGTTTCGCCATTATTTTTTTCGTAAATCGTCGAAACGCGACTCAAATAAAACGCAATTATTTCAAGCATTTAGTTACGGCATGTGTCTGTCTCTTTTTTCTTCTTCTTTTTCTTTTTTTTAACTTTTTTTTTATCAATTTCTTCGATGTTTTCAATTACAATCGCATCAAAGGCAGACGTCGCGTAAAGTTAATGCCGTCGAGGAATATTCATGCCTCATTCTGTTCTATTTTTGTGTATACACATAATAACTACGGAAGCAATTTTATTCGATTCACGTCACGTCATTCGATCATCATCGGCGATCGTTGTTGCTGTTTTGTCTGGGAATTGTATTCCGTTTAAAACCTTCTAGAATGATTTAACGTAACAAGTGAAAATAAACGTAAATTCGTTTACGCTTCTCACCGTGAACCTGTTCTATTCATTTTTCTACATTTCATATTGAGATGGATGGAAATGTAGGGTTTAATGAAAGTTTCACTGCATAGTTTAAGCTCAATGATAAGCAAAACGAAGTATATATCTGTAGGAAGGCTATAATAGTCTCTTCCAAGAAACTATCATTTTTTTTACTTCATGATTTATATCATTTTATAATTTATCAAGATGATGATTTTTTTGTCTTCTTTGCGCATAAACAAGATCGAAGCTTTAATTAAAAAAATATAATATGTAACACGATAGCGCTCGTGTACAAAAAAACAAGATTATACAAATCTTCAGCCGGCTAGGGTGTGAGTCCGTGACGTGGGAAGGTTCAGGGCGCCACTTCCTTTTATCGAGAGGAAGAACTCTTATAATTGCTCTCTCAGATCAACACACTTCTCCTCCGACGGTGGGCCTTAGCTCCTCTAGAGCACCAACACCGTCCTCTTGGAGATTAAAAATATATATCAATATCTTCTTCACTGGAGACCTCAACCGTCTTCTTCCGCGGTTCGCTGCGGTCTCCTCGAATTTTGGAAACATAGTTGCAACGTGGAGCGCACTTGCAGCGTTGTCTATTTTACCACGTTACAAAGTATTTAAAATAAACTTGTAAATTTTGATAATTTCAATAAATTGATATGTTTGAATAAATATTAGAATTCAGTCAAAAACTTTGAGTTTTAGTAATAAAAAAATACAATCTGGGTAAGTAAATTATCTGGAAGTAGTTAATTGCGTCATAAATTATCCTTAATATATATGATAGATAGATTTTTGCTAAAAAAATATGACTAGATTTCTTTAGCAAAAATCTATCTATCATCAAAAATTAACTCAAACTTGGCCGAAAATAACTAAAATCTCATACCTTAGCCTAAACTACTAAAAAGAAACATAATAAAATATATCATAAACAAACCTAACAGAATTTAAACAAATAATACAATTACTATTATGATTTCATTAGAGGTTAGATTTTCATATATTTGTTATACATTTCTGTATTAGTTAAGGATTAAGGATTTCCCAGAAAAAAAAATAATTTGATTATAACTCGATTGAACTAGTTTTGCAAAATAATGATTCTACTAATATACTCTAAATTAATACAAAAATAACCAAATCTAATCCATTCTTTGTTAGATCTCACAAATAACATAATTTTACATAACTTTTTACTTAATTTTACACGAAATACAACCAATTATAATTAATCTTTAATTAATACGTCTAATCCATATTACTTAATTCTAAGCTACAAGAATGGCTTAAAAAATGGAGAATGGCAGTTAACGAAATGAAATATGTGCATATGACATTCACGCTAAAGAAAGACACCTGCCCAACTGTAAGACTTAATGGACAAGATCTGCCCAAAGCAACAAAAGTCAAATATCTAGGCATGCATCTAGATATAAGACTTAAAATTAGAAATAAAGTTTAGAAAACTCTACCAGTAAATCGAACATACAAATTATACAGAGGTTCCAATCAAAATGCCTAAGAAATATTATTAGGACCCCATGGTTCGTCAGGAATAAACAAATACACGAAGATCTTCATATATATATATGGTCGAGGATACAATACCAATATTTAGTAGTAGATACCAAGATAGACTGGAATCACATACTAATGTTCTGTCTATTGGCCTACTCGACAACAGTGAAACCACAAATAGGCTGAAGAGTTGTAAACCACTATATTTAGTATATAGATTTAAGTAATTATTAATGTTCAAATCATCATAATGGTAAACTATCCACCGGGAAAGATTATCCATGTATTGTCAACCGCGATCTTAAATTTACTCAATGTACACATTGATGAACAGATTGTGAATAAAATTATACGACTTAAAAAAATAATACATTACTTCATTCTGGATTATCCACAATTAATTTAAAGATTAATAACAAAGATTTCCAATTGTAACCTCAAGTATAAACCTAACCTAACTCATATCACAGACTATGTTACATAATGGATTATACATAACTAGTTAAGAGATTTTTTTTGTATTTTTATATATATATAAAAATAATTGTTGAAATAAATATTATTATTTTTTTTTAATTGAAACTTTATCAATCACGTATTAAAAAATATATGAATTCATTACTTTTTATTACTTTACAACAAGTATATTGCTATTTAAATATTTATTTATAGATTTTTATTCATATTTATTGCATGCATTTTTATACAATATCTCAGTTAATTTAAGAATTAAAGAAGTTGAAACCTTTACTAGGTACTCTGTCATTTGTTAATTAAGTATGTGCTTTGTAAGCAGACATATCTTAACCAACTAATAAATATATATATTTTTTCGAAAGTGTCAATTAAGGTCAATCTAGATGAAGGTTTTGATAATGTTAGTGGAATGAACAATTGTCTCCTATGCAATAAATTTACATTATAGATGGCAAATGACCGATAATGCTAATCCTAATTTACATTTTCTATGTAACCAGAGAAGTAGATGCGGAGATTAGTGCATAATAGGAAGACGTACGTACGTAAGTACGTACGCTGACCGTGGTTTGTATACCGTCGTCCCACAACAATCGGGCCTGTGTGTATCTAATGGGATTCTGGTCCTCAGTAAGCAGACTATAGGTAAACGCATGCAAATGGAATTTATGTACTTGCAATCACGATGACAACGAGAAGCATTAAAAAGCAGCATATTCGTGTAACAAGCTTAGAACAATAAGCTACCGGTCATAGATGCTCACTTGTGTGTGAGAAAATCGGAAACGCAAGAAGAAAAGGCTTGCTTGGTCCATCCGTTCCATACATCATGGAACCATGAGAACATTTGCTAACGGCACACTCATTTCAGACACATCGCAGACAATACCAGAAGATGAACTAAGGAAAAAAAAGTGGTAAGCGAAGAAAGATGAGCATGCCTACGTCCGCAAGGGTTGGATGCAATTAATTTACCTTCCTGGACGAGGTGCGAACAATCCCAGCATTGTTCTAATTGCCCAGGGAACGAAACAATTGTATTAAAAGCTCGCTGGCATTGATATCAAAATTCGCTTGTTTTATTGTAGTCTCTCATATGCGTTCGCTTTATATAATAGACATTCCATTCGTGGAAATACAGTTTTTCTCAATGCATTAATTAGTTTCAACCAACAATTATATCTTAATTGCATAGAAAAATTTAATCTTCTATTCAAATTTTCAATTATTATTCGGTCACTTTTCTTCACACCGTTAAATAATGCCCATGAAACATCTTTACAATCGTTAGATAATATATTTTTGTACACTCATAATACAGTTTGAATAGAACGCTATAACCATCATTGAATAACTTACTTCATTACAATAGAATTTTCAAACCAATGCGATCATATGGAATACAGTTATGGGTTGAGAAGGAAACTTCAACTTACCAATTGAAAACTAACAAATTAAGACATAATTTACACATGAAAATAGAACATAAATGAATACTGTAATAAAGTTTAAAAAAAATCAATATTGAATGCTTAGGTGTGAAAGATAGATTTTGGATTATTTAAAATACATAAAAAAACGTTCATCTATAATAAAAATTATATGTATAACATTTTTTAGAATTTATTTTGTTTAAATAAAATTTAGTTTGTTTTGAAATGTTCAAGTCGGTCTATAGTGAATCCGGACTGAACGAGTCTGCACTATGCGGAGAACTAATATTAATTATTTAGGATACTATTGTAAGAAATTAAATACATTTGAATGTAAATAAGTTTTATTATATTTTTAATTTTATCAATACCATATTTTTTTTTCCATTTTATATTTTTTGTCTCAAGATTAATTTAATAAGTTCATAATCGCTGCAATTCAAGTTCTCAACGATATCGAAGTGGTCCATTTTTTCAATCATCATAAATTCTGTCTTGACGTGAAGCTCTTGAAGTTTCTCGTGGAACTTCTTACTTTGTTCCTTGAAGGCAGGACTATCAAATTCGCCGACGATGACGTGGACTTTAGCGCAGACAGAGATGTTGGACAACTGCGGACTAAGAGATGTCGCTGTTGATAGGCTCATCATTAAAGCATTATTAACGAAGGTGCCGACCAAAGGTTGAAGATTGTAGATTCCGGAGATCAAGTAGAAGTCACGGAAGATGTCTTCGGTTTTGGTGAGATTAAACATCGATGCGGCAAGATGGGCACCGGCAGAGTGTCCAGCAACCGATATTCCGCTAGAATTGAAGAATTCATATTACATATATCTGTCTATATTATGTTACTTATTTTGACAGCTTCAATTCAAAACTGTAGTGTCATGAGTACTTTGTAGTTGGTATGCATGATATACATTTTGGTATCACTTAGCTACCATGATACATATATTGAATGAATGTCTATGATATCATTTCATAACTTATTGAATTCGATCACTTATTTTGACACCTACAATAGTCTATAATTAATATACTATGTTGTTCTAGGTACATTATAGTTTTACATTTAGGTATAATGTAGCTTCTATAGATTATGTAATTGAAATTGACAGCTACAATTACAAACTGCACTTTCTTATGTAAATTGTAGTTGGAAGTACTGACATACTTTGATGTATTATACTTGAGTTATGGTACTACATTTAGTTATGTCAATATTGCAATCTTAAGTATTGTTTTCAACTATAATAATTAAATATTTAGAAAGCAGTATGAAACTGCAATATTTAGTAACTATAGGTTATCAAATCATTGAAAGTGATTGCTAAAATTACTGTACTGCTATACAAATGCTTTTGTTATGTAGGATTTAGTACATCTGACATACATTTGTGTATCATATTACGCGTAGTGCGGATGCAGAATTTCAGTGGAAAGTGGGATGAAAAAGGTATCCCCGTTGTTCGTCGATTGTTGTTTACCTTACCTAGATTTGTGGAGTTTCGCGTAATTTATACAGTACTGGAATGCCCGTTGTATCTCAGCAACGATCTCGGGCATCGTGACCACAGGACACAGATCATAACCAATTACGATCACTTTGAAGCCGCTCTTATAAAGTGGCTCAACAATGTAACTGGACACATCCCGGCTCAACTGCTGCCAATAACCCCCGTGGATGTATACCAATATTTCTGACTCTGAAATGTACAACTCAATTAATAATAACCAGGTCGATACGAAGCGAAAACAAACGATAAACCCGCATTTCTGGTTTTTCTTTACGCATTTTATTAACCATTTACGGATGTTGCAATATTTATTACATAACATATAAATGTATACAGTACATTTAAGTGTAGCATTTACCAAATACAATATCATAAAAGAAATGAATATATTATCAACAAATATATAATATATTGAACATATTTTATATTTTACATTATTTTCATAAATTAATCTAATTAAAATGATTGAGCATAAAATATTATATAAATTAATTTCTTTTTCTATAAAAATGTCAGAATATAAAACAATTATTGTATATAAATTTTATAAACTTTTGCTTAAATTAAAAATAATTTGTGCAAATCTAATGGATAAAATCGATGAAGTCTTAAATTATCTTCATCTCCGAGGCATTAAAAGTATTTAGTGACATTTCCATGCAAATAGAACTACTTTGTAGAAAAAAATGTAATTAGCTTGATTTATCATCACTATTAGTGCAGGGGTGAGCACGTATGACGTCAATGAGAGCCACATTCCAGTTTTTCATTTATTAAAGATCCAAATAAAGTAACAAATAATTGTCCACTTATGATCATATAAATCCGTTTTAATTTTGTATTTGTTTGTGTATGACTTTTTCAATAAATACTAGAATTATTATATTATGTAAATAAATAAAATATAATATATTAATATCAACTTTGAATGACTCAAAATAAAATTAAAATAGATGAAATAGCAAAAGTAACTTCGGGAAGTTTATGGGTCAGTAGGTCATCGTTTAATATCGAAATCGAATGACACATATGTTATTTCCTTTGTGGCTCTATTTTCAATAAAATGGAATATTCAGAATATTCAATACATTAAACAAAATGTATTGTTATATCACAGTAATCGACAGAATAAATATTTAATCAATTTAAATGTAAATTCAACTAAAATTTTAAATTTATGAAAATAGTTGAAATAAAAAGTATTTATATAATCTGAGCTCTTTATGCCCTTTTTATTTATAAAAAAGTAAATTATCTTATGTACTAAAAATTACTTTAGTCTTATTTTTAGTCTACTGCTATACTCGTGAATAGTTTCATAATAAAGACACTTTATATAATTTCAACTGTATTTGATAAATATTAATACATTAAGACTGACTTCTTCCAGTATTGATTACTTTTAGAACCTTTCTAATTTGTGGTATTTCTGAAGGAAACCCCGTAATTTTAGATATTATATGTGTCAATTATTAGATCAAAGATTAAGATAACGAAAATTGTTGCAATTAGATTTTTTTCATTAAAGAAAACAATGATCAAATAAATATGGTTAAAATTATATGTGACTCATTATATCAAAATTAGTTAGATAAGTATTTATCACTTATAAATTATGTATAGAAAATGATTTTTTTTAAAGAAAATCAAGATATATGAACTTTTGAAATTGAAACTCGAAATACTTCCTAAAGTTATGACAAATATCAATTTGTTACTTTGAAATATATTATGATGAACTTCATATTAAATGCATTTCATATGATTAAAAATGTTTTTATTCATATTTATATAAACTATATATTGTTTATCTACTTTTTGATAAAAAAAAATATAAAACAAATTTAAATATTCTATTAAAATATATGATATATGATATATAATATATAATATATATATA